GGTCGAGGCGATAAAATACGGAATATTTGATTAATGTAATCCAGAATTGTAAAGTGGATTGCTCGGGATGAAGAAAGAACTGGGACACAGGCGATGGGCCTACTTTTCACCTTCACCGTGAACTGCGGCTCATCTTTTGAATTCTGAACCACGTTTAATCCGAGAAAACTTGACTGAGCTTGCCAAGAACTGCTCTAAAAACAGGATTCAGGCCGGGCGCGGTGGCTCAAGCCTGTAATCCCAGCACTTTGGGAGGCCGAGTCTGGTGGATCCCGAGGTCAGGAGATCGAGACCATCCTGGCTAACACGGTGAAACCCCGTCTCTACTAAAAAAAAATACAAAAAACTAGCCGGGCGAGGTGGCGGGTGCCTGTAGTCCCAGCTACTCGGGAGGCTGAGGCAGGAGAATGGCGTGAACCCGGGAGGCGGAGCTTGCAGTGAGCTGAGATCCGGCCACTGCACTCCAGCCTGAGCGACAGAGCGAGACTCCGTCTCAAAAAAAACAAAAAAACAAAAAAACAAAACAGGATTCAGCCGTGAACAAACCTGGTACAGTCCGTCTTAAAGCTGACATTCCAGAGGAGATAGAGAGCGGGCACAGAGCCAGCCCAGAGAGGGGAGCGCGCTGAGAGACGACTTTACACAGCGCGCGCGTTCGGGGCGGGCTTCGTGGGCAGAGACGCTTGAAGCAAGACCTGAATGAGGTGGGAAGGAGCATGCAGGTGGTGGGAGAAAAGAGGTCCACGCAAGGGGAACAGCCAGCGCAGAGGCCACGCAGTTCAGGAACAGCAGGAAGGGTCGGGGCACAGCCCTGAGAAGGGAAGTCGGGAAGGAGGGAGGTGAGGCGAGGTCTTCGCCTTTGGGTGAGAATTGCTGGAGTTCCCGGTAACACTGGCAAGCCAGTTTCTGAGGAGGGTGCGGGCGAAAGCCTGATCCAAGTGGCCTCCGGAGTGAAGGAGGAGAGAGGGTGTGGAAGCGGGTAACACAGGCAGTTCTGCAGCGGGGCTGTGGAGACAGCTGGGGGACAAGAGGGCGCTGAGGTTTGTGTGTGGGGGGGTGAAATAGTACTGAATAAAATGGGAAAGTATAAATGTATTATCTGTTCAAATATTAAGTAAAGAGTAAAGAAGGGAGAGGACAGTCGCAGAAAAGGTAATGGAGTGGATACAAGGCCATGCTTGAGGGTGACGGGACAGGGCCAGGTTCCAGTCTCTAAATTTAGCTCAGTTCAGGGCCGCGGCGAACCTGCGCTAGGGGAACCTGACACCGTGGCCCGAGCGCCAGGCCCTTGCTCCGCGATGCTGGGTCGGCCTCGGTCGGAAACCGGGAGTGGCTCCCGGCAGGGTTTGTGCGCCCACCTGTCGCGGCCCGTTTCCCGCGGCTGACTGGGTCAGGCTGGGGCGGCCTGGAGAGGCTGAGCGACTGGGGCGACGGGGAGAGGCCGCTGGCCAAGGCGGGGGCTGGTGGAGCGCAGGTCCGGGGCGCGGGGCGCTGTCCCGCGCTTGAATGGCCCAGTGCCTCCGGGCCCGTAGTCAACGTGCGCCTCCCCTCCCGGCTCCCAGCCGGGCGCGCCCTGGGCTCAAGTCTCTGCCTGCCCAGTGGCAGCCCCGCCCTTCCTCTCCCAGTGGGCACTCGGCGGCCAGCTTGGACGTCGGGCTCCGACCCGCGTCCTGTGAGGTCGAGCGGCCGCCCAGGCGCTACCAGATCTGAGAGCGCGGAGAGCGCGCATGGCGGCTGTGGGGCCGCGGACCGGCCCCGGCACCGGGGCTGAGGCTCTAGCGCTGGCGGCAGAGCTGCAGGGCGAGGCGACGTGCTCCATCTGCCTAGAGCTCTTTCGTGAGCCGGTGTCCGTCGAGTGCGGCCACAGCTTCTGCCGCGCCTGCATAGGGCGCTGCTGGGAGCGCCCGGGCGCGGGGATTGTGGGGGCGGTGACCCGCGCGCCGCCCTTCCCACTGCCCTGCCCGCAGTGCCGCGAGCCCGCGCGCCCCAGTCAGCTGCGGCCCAACCGGCAGCTGGCCGCCGTGGCCACGCTCCTGCGGCGCTTCAGCCTGCCCGCGGCCGCCCCGGGAGAGCACGGGTCCCAGGCGGCCTCGGCCCGGACAGCGGCTGCCCAGTGCGGTCAGCATGGCGAACCATTCAAGCTCTACTGCCAGGACGACGGACGCGCCATCTGCGTGGTGTGCGACCGCGCCCGCGAGCACCGCGAGCACGCTGTGCTGCCGCTGGACGAGGCGGTGCAGGACGCCAAGGTGAGCGCAGCCCGCACCCACCCCTGTGGGTCCCCGGGACCCCCTGCCCTGGTCCCGCGCTCCCGCGCACGCAGTGCAGAGAACAGACTGTCGATCAGGAGGCCCGGGTGACCCCTCCCTTCTTTCTCCTACTCCAGGAAGCCCAGCACGGGTTCCCCGGCTGAGCGCGGTTCTCTGTCACCCCGAACATCACCAATACCCCCACCCCACCCCCACTGCGTTTCGCTCTGGGCCAGACACTGGGCTGCCTGCGCGACGTCCCCCGCGGACTTGGCGATGTTTTTCCTGTCTGTTCAGAGCCTCTAGCCTGGTCTGCGTCTCCGCAGCTCTGCGCCCGCGGGACGTCTCCGGCACAGCCAGGCAGCCGCTGCCCCCACTCTTATCTCTTTCCCTGAAGCGGGCTCTGCTCAAAGTCCCCACCTCGTGGAACTGAGTGGGAGGACCTCGCCAAGAGGTCCAGGGAGGGGGCTCCTGGGTTAAGCAGCACCGAGAGCCGTCTGACTGTGCCAAGGCTGTCGATTCTGAGCGCCCTTTCTTTGCTATTTTCTCGCTGAGCCTCAGCCAGGGTGTGTGCAGGGGTGAGGGCGGGGCGGGGAGGCCCGGGCGGCAGTCCCCAGTCTCTCCTTGCTCGCCTATCCTGCTCCAACTCTCCCACCCACAGGGCTTCCTGATGGTGGGGCGGAGAGCAGAGGAGACGACTAGGGGTAGGGCTGCTGGAGGCTTGTGTTTCAGTCTGGCTGGTCCAGCAGATGCTTTTGGGGACGCAAGATCCCAAGACCTTCAGAGTCCCCTCGCACTGTAACCTGCAACCTGTAGACAGACTTCTACCCGGCCTCCCCCTCAGTGAGCAGGGCCTTCCCTTTCTCCTGGCTGGCTCCAGGAGGCAGAGGTGGGGGTTTCCAGAATCCCCTCCCCCGCAGCTCACCTTGTTTCCCTTCACCTACAGGAGCTCTTGGAGTCCAGGCTGAGGGTCTTGAAGAAGGAACTGGAGGACTATGAGGTGTCCCGGTCCACGGAAGAGAAGGAGAGCAAGGAGCTCCTGGTGAGCCAGGCACCCCCCGGCACCCCGTGGGAGATGATAGAGGCCTACGCAGCACCAGGGCTCAGTGTGTGTGGTGTTGGTGTGTGTGCTATGGAACCGCAGAATAGATTTCAGAAAAATAAGAGAGTGCATGTTACATAGGGTGACCATATAATTACTGTACAAACCAGAGCTTTTTGAAGTGAAAAGGTGTGCTAAAATAATTATTGCAAAACTGGCTTAAACTGGAACTATCCCAGCGAATCAGGACATACAGTCACTCTGATATTACATAACATACCAGTTAGGGCCTGTGGAAGCATCTTGTAATTGAACACATTAATATTTCTGCAGAGAAACATGAATATTCAATAAATGGGACTATTAATACGATAAAGAGCCTCATGGGATGTTTTATCAACAAAAAAGTAGTGAAAAAATTTTCATTTTCACAGTTTTTTTATTTGAAATTGAGGCTAAGGGAGAAGGTGCTGGAGGGTGTCAGCTGCTTCGTGGCTCTGGCACAGTGAGGCAGTTTGGGGTCTTGAGTTTACAGTAGCCCCTGCTGCACAGCCCAGGGTCTTGCATACTGGCGTCTGCCTCTACTCCAAGTTGGAATGATATTTTATCTTCCTTAGAGTATAACAGGAAAGTGAAATGGGGACTAATTTTGGTTAAGATAAGCAAACATGAATCACCATCGGTCATTTTCTACCTTGCAAATTCAGTTCCTAGCTCAGTAAATAAGTGTTGAAAGAAGGAAAGGATTGGCTGAGTGCCACGGCTCACCGCCTGTAATCCCAGCACTTTGGGAGGCCCAGGCGGGCGGATCACCTGAGGTTGGGAGTTCCAGACCAGCCTGACCAACATGGAGAAACCCCCATCGCCACTAAAAATACAAAATTAGCCGGGTGTGGTGGCGCATTGCCTGTAATCCCAGCTACTCGGGAGGGTGAGGCAGAAGAATAGCTTGAACCTGGGAGGTAGAGGTTGCAGTGAGCCAAGATCACGCCACTGCACTCCGGCCTGGGCAACAAGAGTGAAAATCCATCAAAAAAAAAAAGAATGAAAGGATCTACTAGGGCCTGTCAAAGCAGGGAATTGGAGGAAGGTGAACTAGAGGACCCTCCCATCCTCAATGTCAGGAGGGGTGGAGGAGGAGCCTGGAGTTCAGACACCCTAGGGTCCTTTCCAGACCCTCAACTGTATCTGTGGTGCCTGCATCCAGCGTGCATCCCAGACCTTCCCACCCACTCACTCACTTCCCTCCATGATGAAGAGCTCGCCCTCCAGACCTTCGTCCCTCCTCCGCTGGAGAAATAACTTCCAGTGCAGCTCTTCCGCCACTGGTTGACATCCAGGAACCAGAGGGCCTTCCCAGGCACCGGTGGCAGCTTCACGGTCTCTGACCAGAGTCCCCAGGCCTTACTTAACACCTTCCACCTCTGTCCGCTCCCAACATCCATCCATCACCCCCACATTCATTTTTGTTGTTGTTTTGTTTTGCTTTTATATAGAGTCTCGCTTTGTCACTAAGGCTGGAGTAGTTCAAGCGACCCCCCCCACTTCAGCCTCCTGAGTAGCTGGGACTACAGGTGTGCACCACTCCACCTGGCTAATTTTTAATTTATTTTTTGTAGAGCTGGGGTTGGGGGTAGTCTCCTATGTTGCCCAGGCTGGTCTGGAACTCGTGGGCTCAAGCAACCTCCTCCCCTAACTTCGCCCCCCCCCAGCTTCCCAAAGTGCTGAGATTACACGTGTGAGCTCCACCTCTTCTTTACAGTGAGAAAATACTTCTGTGATTTACGATGCTCGTATCATTTAAATACCCTGCTTAATGAAACATCAGAGATAGAGTCCAGCTATTGCTGCAACATAAAAGGAAGCAGGAATACTCTTATTTGAAAATACTCCTACCCCAGGGGACATCTGGCAAAGTCTGGAGATACTATATTTCTGGTTGTCAACAGTGGGATACGGATGCTATTGGCATTTAGTGGTAGAGGCCAGAGGGGCTGCTAAACATCCTATGAGGCGCAGGACAGCCCCCCCACAACCAAGGAGTATCTGGCCCAGAATGTCACCTGCGTTAAGGTTGGGAAACCCTGGTGTAGAGTGTTTTGGCAAATACTGTTTCACTTGTTATTTCCTCGTGAGGCAATATGACGTAGCTGCCAGAAGCTCAGATTCTAGGTTCTGGCTCCCTGGCCTAGAAGCCTGGCTTACCACTTCATGGTGATGTGTCTGCCTTTGTCTCCTCACCTGAAAGACTTCGGGGGAAGTGCACCCACCTCACTGGGCTGCCGTCAGGGTTGAGGGAGTTAATACCTATAAGGCTCTCCGGGCTACTGCAGCCTGCCTGGAAGCTGAAGGAAAGGTGGGGGCATTGTGTGACACCTGAACCCAGGTCTCCCAGCTTCCCGGGACTCCCTTCCTCCGCCCAGGAGTTTTAAGGAAGAGAAACTTCCTGGTGGGACATACTGAGCACCACACGTGTGTTCCTATAAAAAATTAAGAGATCAGGGCATGAGTCTGCATCTGAAAACTCGAGTAAAAAATCCTGTGTATGCTGTTAACGGAAAGAATAGAATATCAAGCTTGCACACAGCATATTCTCACTTAGTTCCTTGGGGGTGAGCTGCTACCTCTGGTCACTGGCATCGGACTTTTCTTCCTTCTTTCTACTTTCCTACATCTCCCAAGTTTTGTATTTTGAGCATGTGTTACCATTATAACTGCTAAACAGGGAAGATGGCCTTTAAAAACAAAGTGAAGAGTAACAGTTTGAGGGTGATGAAATTAACGTGCTTAAGGAGGAAAAGGCAATCTCAGTTTAATCCTATGGTTGCCCCAGGAGGCACTAATTTATCCCTTCTGCTTTTCAAGTGAGGAAACTGCCACTTGGTGTAGTTCTGGGGGGAGTATGATGCTGCCTTGGTTTAGGTGATGGAGCACAGGTCCACAGACACGCGTGGGCACATCTGTGGCAAGGGAGAAAAGAGCATGTGTTGAGACTACAGCTTGTTCGGAGCTGGGACATTGAAAATAGAGCATGCACTGCCTGCATAGGTGGGTGTGTCTCTGATCCCCCAGCAGTGACAGGGATGAAGCCTTGCCCTATGGGATGATTCAGGCCACTGGCCAAATGTTATGTCTCCATACTCAAGTCCCCTACCTCTCCAATTCTCCTCCTGGGACAGAAGCAGATGGCAGCGGAGCAGGAGAAGGTGGGGGCAGAGTTCCAGGCGCTGAGGGCCTTCCTAGTGGAGCAGGAGGGCCGGCTGCTAAGCCGCCTGGAGGAACTGTCCCGGGAGGTGGCACAGAAGCAGAATGAGAATCTGGCCCAGCTCGGTGCTGAGATCACCCAGCTGTCCAAGCTCAGCAGCCAGATCCAGGAGACAGCTCAAAAGCCTGACCTTGACTTTCTCCAGGTAAGTCTGGCTTAGCCAGAGGCTCAAGTCATTTGTCCGAAAGCATCAGGACCGGCAGCTAGAGGACAGTATCAGTCCTGGGGGTTCAGGAGAATCACACGATCTGGAGCTGAAGGGGACTAGAGGGAAGTGCCCTGATTTTCCTGGGGTTGGAGGTCTAGAGGGATGTGATAACACTTTCTTGACTATAAGCCACAATAATATATATCGTATTTCAGAATCGCTTGCTTGAGACAAAAGTCTCAGAAGATAATACTCACCTTTGCTACACGTATGCACTTTGATGTTTTCTATTCTATTTCACTAAAAAAAAAAGTTATAAACCACTAGATAAACTTCACAATCCACAGATGGGTTAATAACAGTCACTACTGGGCTGAGTGAGCAGGAGGTGCATAAGGGCTGTGACCTCCCTCAGGTGGTTTCCAGGACACAGGCAGCACTGGGTCCCATGGGATAGCTCCAGTGATGATTCTGTAATAAAGAAAGCAGCAAAGATAGAAAGAAAGCATGGGAAGATCTGTGGCAAAGGGTGAGAGGTCCACTGCGTGGATGAGACACCCCGCAGCCAGCAGCCACTGCAAGCTGCTGTCACCTAAGTCCATGCAGGCAGTGAGGCATGGCACACCTGCTTACCGCTTACATCTTGGAGGCACAGCAAGGGGCAAGCTTTGTTCCTCAGAGGTGAATGGAGGTTACCGATGCTGATTTGGTTTCCTCTATTTTCCTTCCAGGAATTCAAAAGCACGCTGAGCAGGTGAGTGACCTCACAGCTCCTGGGGCCTCTCTAAGTTGCCTCTTCCCTTTTCACTAAGCCTTCTCTTTATTTCCTGTCCCCTGACCTCTCACCTCCTGATCCCCCGACTTGCTTGCCGGGGACCTTCTGAGACGAATGCCCACCTGCCTGGCCGTGGGTTTTCCTGCATGAGGTCCGGCTCCCCCTTTTCTACCTCTTTCCGCCAAGACGACCTCGCCATCCTAATTGTCACAGCCTGTGGGAGTAAAACTGTGCAGACAGGCCCTTCTCAGAGCCCTTGTCCTGCAGGTGTAGCAATGTGCCTGGCCCCAAGCCAACCACAGTCTCTTCTGAGATGAAGAATAAAGTCTGGAATGTTTCTCTCAAGACCTTTGTCTTAAAAGGGATGCTGAAGAAGTTCAAAGGTAGGGGCCTGGGCGCTGAGCTGGGCCACGTAGTGCGGTGGTGGTAGAGGGTTCCTGGTAGCTCAGAGGTCCCTGGGTGTGTTTTCCAGAAGCTGTGTGTGAAAATAGGAGCTGGCTGTGCCATGGCCAGATTGGTGTAGGGGCTGTGGTGGCAAATCTAGTCAGGTCCCTGCAGGGCATGCAGCTTCTCATGGGGACAGATGGGGTAGAGGGGTCCTGCTGGGGGACTGGGGGTAGGAAGAGGGATATGCAGGGGAGCTGAGCTCAGAGCCACTCAGGTAGAACTAGAATGCTTGGGTATGGGCCCCCTGCCCCCGGCTCCCCATGCTTGGCCTTAGGAGTCTCTGGGGAATGAATGAGTCAGCTGGGCTATAAAGAGCTGGTGACCTTGCCATATAATCTCCCATATCGCTCATGCATGCCTTGCTTTGTTTCTCCTCCTCAGAGGACCTTCGGGGAGAGCTGGAGAAAGAGGAGAAAGGTAAGGATGGTGCTGTGATGGCCACATGGAGAACCTACTCCCTGCTGGTGACCATCTCAGGGTTTTGCATATGGTCAGTGCCTTCCACCCACCCACCTCGGCAACCCTGTTCCTCTGTCCCCTCCCTCATGCCACCCCCTCCCCATCCTGGGAGCTCCGACACCCTCAGATGGCAGTGGGGCCTGTTGGCCCAAACGCTGCAGGTCGGTTAGGAGCAGGAATGCCCTGTACCTGGAGATACTCAGACTGGGAAAGGCTTCTCGGCCACCTGGGTGAACCTCTCCCCAGTCCCCACTCCAAGACAGATGGAAACCTCTCCTGGCGATGGGGTGCATACAGGGGACCAGGAAAGCAAGGGGAAGCTAAAGACTGGAAGGAATATTGTTTTTACTCTTGCAGAGCTCTAGAGTGTGTGGGATCCAACACCCAGGGGAGGGAGGGAAGGGGAGGGCACATATTCCTGATGCTGATGTCCGAGCTAAATCAGAGTGTGCCTGGGTGCCACCTAAACCACCTGAATGAGACCAGACCTTCCTCTGCTCAGAGCCCTGCCACAGCCCCTCTGACCTGTTAAAGGTCAGAGTCCTCATGGTGGTCTCAAGGGCCCAAGGGATCTGGCCTCACTGCACACCCCTTCTACTCCATGCAGCTACACATCCTCCTTGCTGTTCCTTCAGCGTACCAAGCACACACCCATCCCAGGCCCTTTGCACTGCCAGGCTCCCCCACCCCAGCCCCCTACCTGGAACATGCTTTCCCCAGCCAGTCGCGTGGCCCACTTCTTTGCCTTCTTTATATCTGTCTGCTCAATGCCCCTTTGCAGTGAGGGTCTTCCCTGGCCACTCTGGTTGAAGTTACAGCCTGCTCTTCTGGTTCCTCTCGTCTTCTATGTTTACAATCTATCCTTAATCCTCCCCCTGTGGGAAGGAAGCTGCAGGCAGGCAAGACTATCCCATACTCTGTGGTATCCCCAGGGCCTGGAACGTAGCAGTGCTCACAGTAAACGTACATATTTTAAGTTTTTTTTTTTTTTGGAGACAAGGTATCGCTTTGTTGCCCAGGGTGGAGTGCAGTGGAACTGCAGCCTCGACCCGCCAAGCTCAAGCGATCCTCTGTCCTCAGCGTCCTCGAGTAGCAGGGACTACAGGAGCACACCACCATGCCTGGCTAAATGTTCTATGATTTGTGGAGACAGGTATCTCACTGTATTGCCCAGGCTGGTCTCCAACACCTGGGCTCAAGCTATCTTCCCACCTCTGCTTCCCAAAGTGCCAGGATTACAAGCATGGGCCTCTATACCTGGCCTTAACTTTTTATTATGAAAAATTTCTAACATACTCAAAAGTAGAGAGAAGAGTGTAAAGAAGGTGACATACCCGTCTCTCACCTTCAGCAGTGATCAATTAGTGGCCATAGTTTTCATAGACACTGCTATCCACTTCTTATGGGATTATTTCATTTTCTGAGACAGGGTCTTGCTCTGGAGTAAGATCCTGGAGTACAGTGGCCTGATCGCCGCTCACTGCAACCTCTGCCTCCTGGGTTCAAGCGATTCTCATGCCTCAGCCTTCCAAACAGCTGGAATTACAGGCACAGGACACCACACTGGGCAAATTTTTGTATTTTTAGTAGAGAAAATACAAAACAAGTTTTCTGCCATGTTGGCCAAGCTGGTCCCAAACTCCTGACCTCATGTGATCCATCGGCCTCAGCCTCCCAAAATGCTGGGATTACAAGCGTGAGTCAAGTCACCCGGCCCTACCGTATTATTTTATTTATTTATTTATTTATTTATTTATTTATTTATTTATTTATTTATTTATATTTTGAGATGGAGTCTCGCTCTGTTGCCCAGGCTGGAGTGCAGTGGTGAGATCTGGCTCACTGCAAGCTCCGCCTCCCGGGCCCAGGCCATTCTCCTGCCTCCGCCTCCCAAGTAGCTGGAACTACAGGCACCCACCACTACGCCTGGCTAATTTTTTTTTTTTTTTTTTTGTATTTTTAGTAGACACGGGGTTTCACGGTGTTAGCCAGGATGGTCTCGATTTCCTGAACTGGTGATCTGTCTGCCTTGGCCTCCCAAAGTGCTGGGATTACAGGCTTGAGCCACCGCACCCGGCCTACTGTATTATTTTAAAGCATCAGAGTCAACATATTATTGACATAAATACCTCAGTGTATTATCTCTAAAGAAACAGATTTTGTAAAACATAACCACAAAGCAGTCATCACACCTGGACAGATCAATGATTCTTTCCAATGTCTAGCATTCAAATATCCCCATCTCTTTGAATTGGGGTTCAGATCAGGCCCACCTATTGCATTTGTTTGATTTCAAGTACTTGTTGAGTGGTCGGGGAGGGGGGAAGCAAAATATCTGGGATGCAGAGCATGGGCGTTGGTTGGGCCTTGGCACTGGGTGCTGGATGGATTCCAGAGGGAAAGTCAGGCAGGTTGCAAAGCAAGGTCGGGCGCGGCCCTGCAAAGAGTATGCCAGGGGCCTGCCTGCGTGGGGACATTTCTCCCTGTCCTGTCTGCAGTGGAGCTCACCTTGGATCCCGACACAGCCAACCCGCGCCTCATCCTCTCTCTGGATCTTAAGAGCGTGCGCCTCGGCGAGCGGGCCCAGGAGCTGCCCAACCACCCCCGCCGCTTCGACACCAACACCCGCGTCCTGGCGTCCTGCGGCTTCTCCTCGGGCCGGCATCACTGGGAGGTGGAGGTGGGCTCTAAGGACGGCTGGGCCTTTGGCGTGGCCCGCGAGAGCGTGCGCCGAAAGGGCCTGACGCCCTTCACCCCCGAGGAGGGCGTCTGGGCCCTGCAGCTCAACGGCGGCCAGTACTGGGCCGTGACCAGCCCCGAGCGTTCGCCCCTCAGCTGCGGGCACCTGTCGCGCGTGCGGGTGGCCCTGGACCTCGAGGTGGGAGCCGTGTCCTTCTACGCCGTGGAGGACATGCGCCACCTCTACACCTTCCGCGTCAACTTCCAGGAGCGCGTATTCCCGCTTTTCTCTGTTTGCTCCACTGGCACCTACTTGCGAATCTGGCCTTGAGGGACACTGCTGGGGAGCTCCTGTCTCTGGGCTGCCGGTGGGAAGGGATGTCACCTCCCCAGAGCTGCCTAGTCCGTCTTGGGTCTGCACTCCGTGCTCCTGACTGACCCCGGCTGCCCAAGAGAGGCTGCTATACACACAACCCCGAGGCAGGAGAGTGAGGCTGTGGCCAACTGAGCAGGGACAGGGGCCTTGGCCTCCCGGGGTGTTCCCTTCCTGAGGTCACACGTGGATTTGTCCACAGCCTTCAGGAGGTGGAGGCTGGTGAGGTCAGGAGCCCAGCTCTCCACGGGGCTTCTGCCCTGACTGGGAAGGGCTCTGGCTCCCTAAAACAAGGTCAAAGCCAGTCCTGCTGTTCTCTGTTGCCAGGCGACAGGTCTGGGCCCACGTCAACCAGGTTCCTTATCATGGCTGCTGCCTTCTGGACAGCTTCCAGCGCTGCCTTGAGAGGTTGTGGGACCTCTGGATCCAGCTGGCCTGACAGGTCAGCTACTCAGGGAGGAGCCCTGTGCTCCCAGCTCAGAGGACAGTCCCGGCCAAACCTGGAAGGAGACCCTTGGCCCGTCTTTGAGGGAGAAGCCCGGGACAATGGGCATCACAGCTCTCCAGCACTCCTTAGCCGGAGGATACAGAGTGATGGGTGCTTTCTGACCAAAGGAACAACCCAAATGTGCTCCCACAAACACCTGACTCCCCCACTTTCCAGTGCCAAAGTACAAACTCTGCTTGGATAAGGACAGCAAAGCTTCTGGACCTTTATTGTTTTTAATTTTTTTTTTTAAGAGACTGGGTCTTGCTATGTTGCCCAGGCTGGTCTTGAACTCCTGGCCTCAAGTGATCCTCTAGTCTCCATCTCCCTAAGGGCTGGGATTACAGGTGTGAGCTGCTGTACCCAAACTTTTTTTGTTTTGTTTTTGCTTCTGGAACTTTGAAACATAAAACACAAGTTGGCACTTACAATTTTAAAGATGCAGCCAGCTCTAAACGCACAGAGCACAAACATGATCCTGACAGACTGGGGAAAATGCCAACTGCAGAGCACCCTGGTGCCAAGGCCTTCTCAGCCCATGCCCTGAAGGGCATTCCTCTGGCCAGCCTCAGCCCCTTGTCTACTTGTTCTCCAGCTTCTGCATAGCTGGGCTTCTGGAAGGGTGGCAGTGGGCTGCTCCCTGCTCAGCACTGCCCTGGGAAGGGAGTGAGGGGATGAAAATGAAGACTGTGAGCTGTCTTTAGAGTTGGCTTGGCTCATTTTCTACCCCCTGGATCCGAGCACAGAAGCGTAAGTGTGAGCCAGGGTTTCTGCCAGAGTGAATGAGTGTGCATGTTTATATACGGAAGGAGTGTGCATTTGTATCTCACCTTTCCTGGGTGGGGTGTGTGTGTGTGTGTGTGTATTTTGGAGAGGGCATTTATGCGCATGTGCATAAGGTTCAGGTGTTGCAAAGAGACCCAAGTCAGTTTGATCATACCCTATTGTTGATTTGTTGTTAAATATTAATCACCTCGTATTTAGACAAGGGCCACAGGCTTCTTCCCTCGCTACCTGGCTACCAGGTTGGATGAACAGAATACCAGACTCGGACCTAATTCTGTCCCGCACAGCTTATGTAGACAGAAGTGTTGGCAAGCAGGGGCGATGATAGCTGAATAGCCCTGTGACATGGAGCTTCAGTGCTGTCTCTGAGATGCTTCAAGCCCACTTTGCATATAAGGTTCTCATGGGGCAGGCACGACACTATCCGAGGCAGGCCCAGTTGACACAGCACCAGACAATCAGAATACTATATCCTCCAGGCTGAGGACAGGGTCGTTTCAAAGTCCTGCCCACAGAAGCATTCCAGAGAGTGAATTCTGTGTTCTGCTCATACATGGAGAGCAACTCTAAAACCTGGTAGCCAGTTCAGGCATTTGAATACCACTGATTTCCACAAGGAAAACCAATCTCTAACATTAATCTCCTAACTAAATCGCCTATTGTTACCGTTGAGCCCTAATGTTATCTGGCTTGTACGGCTTTTTGATTAAGTATCATAATTCCCTTTGTACCATCCAACAAATGTGCTGGGCATCACAACACACATTACAGGTCCCAGAAAGTACAATGTCTGGGGGGAGGCGTCACACGAGGGTCAGGTCTGGGGACTGGGAGTAGCTGTCCACATGTTTATTTTCCGTTTCTGTGTCCATGAGTGCAATCGTGTGTCTCTCAGAGTGTGCGTTTGCAGAGTAACTACATACGTATCTATATATCTGAAGAAACATAACAACAGTTACTGACTGTACCAATTGCCTATAGAAGGGAAGAGATGTTCTTTCTTGGTAACCAGGGCAGTGCAGTAACTTGGATGTCAGGATGCTGGTGTCCTCGAGGGTGCGTGTGTGCATTTCCCTCTCCTAGACTCAGGGCATCATAAACTCTATAGAGACCTCTGGGTCTGTAAGAACAACTGGCCTAACTTGGGCCCTTCTTATTCACCCATCAGTCCTAGCTGCTGAGCCACAAGCCCAGGCCTCTGCCGCCAGACCTTTACAGGGACCCTCAGCATCCAGACTGGGGGGCACCTAGGGGCCTGCCTCTGGCCGCCCAGTGACCCAAGTCACCCGGCCTTGCAGGGAGCATAGGGCAGGGTAGGCCACCAGACCAAGGTCCACCTCCGACACCCACCACTTTCTGTCCTTTGCCAGGCTGGGCCCTCATCCTTCTCCCCTCTCCTCCGCCCCATGCGCCCTTTAAGGGCCCTGACAGAACATGTCAGGGTGTGCCCTAAAAGTTGCATTTTCCTAATTCATCCAAATATGAGACAGGGGCTAGCACCCACCCCCAACCTCGCCTGGACCCTTCCGACCCCAGCGCCTCCAAACACCTGGCCGTCCAGATTCCCCGCCCCCCCCGTCGGCCTCCACCTCCTGTTGCCCCCACCACTCCCCCACTACCCAGCTCGCCCCAGGTCCCGCCCTAACCTCTCGGACCTGGACTCCCTGCAGGACGGGCGCACTGACACCATTCCCTGACCTTTCCATAGCCTTGACCTGGAGCCCCGCTTCCTCATGCACAGCGAGACGCAAAACGTGCTCCCCAATCCTGCGCACGCCCCTCCCCGCCCCCCAGCCCCGCCCAAGACCCGGGGCGCTCCTCACAGCTCCGAGCTCGGCGGTACCGCCCTGCCCTGACAGCTCCCGCCAGCGCGCGCGCCCAACGCCGGCACAGTCTCCGCGGAGCTCCCTCCAGGGACTAACGGCCGTTTGGCGCCACGGACACATGGGCAAGATGGCTGCGGCCGGGGGAGGAGCTTGGATTCAGCCGCCACCGAACTCGGCCGGGGATTAAGCGGACTGCGGCTGCGTGGCGCCGGCGAAAGCGTCAACTATTTGTGTGCGAAAGGGAAACTCGCAGCTGGCTCCATAGCTCAGGGGTTAGAGCACTGGTCTTGTAAACCAGGGGTCGCGAGTTCAAATCTCGCTGGGGCCTGT